TTGATACTTTTGGTTTCCTTGCGCCAGAAGCTGTGGAGTTACTCAATAGAGTCCAACGGGTCATGCATTGTAATGTTATGACTCCAAGATCTACAGATATTGTGTTTAAAAGAATTAGTTTTGTCATCCAAAAAGGGGTTGCGGCACAACTTGTTGCTCGTTTACCCACTACGTTTATGTAATTTTCAAGTAAAATGTGAATGAAAATTTAAGTTTAAAGTTAAAAAAAAATTACAATTTATAAAATAATTAGAATATCACATAATCATATTTTAAAATATCAGGCATACTGTACTTCATGGAAGTGCAAGGTTTATGTAGAATTACAAGGTGTTTAACTAGTGCAGATATATAGAATATGATACTAAAATATTTAGAATATTATGCATTCTCATTAAAAATTCATAGAATCGATAGAATATTAGACATTTAAATTTCAAAATTTGAAGAAAGCTATATATAAAATGATATATTATGGTTTATTCACATTTCCTTTGACTTCTTTGACACAAAAAAATAGTTATTTGGAGTAGATATGAAGTGAAGTAAAAAAAAGATTTTATATGAGAATTAGAACCTGAATCTGATTATGTTGAATCAGGCATTCTTGATAACTTGATCTGATTTCTTTGATTCTGTAATGTTAGGTGATTGAAAGCTTGATTAGGGAACATAATCAGAATCACAAAGTTTAAAATATGAATCAGAGTGAATAAGATGATTTTTAGGGTTCTTCAATCGCAAATCTCTTATGTAATTAGAATGAGAGTAATCATTATGTTTAAGCATGAGAGGAATTTGATGGTTGAAAGAAAAACTTAATCTCGGTTTACTAGTTCTTCAATCGAACTATAGATCAGGAAAAAAAAAGGATTTTTAGTGTTCATCGAGGCAGAGGGTTTTGTACGTGAAAAAAATGAAGAAAGATTTGAGTCATGATGCAAATAAATTATATTATTATATGTTACCTGGAATGAATTAAGCTGAATCTGATTCTGTATCCATTTGTTGGAATAAGAAATTTGGATTTCTTTTGATTCAGGAATAATTGATGCTCGAGCGCTTTCAGAATCAAAATCGGAATGAAAGGTTGATAAAATTAGAGTTCAAATATGAATATGAAGGAAACAAAAGATGTTGATGATCGAGATTGAATGAAACGGGTTTTAGTGTTCGTATCGAGATTAGTGTTTTATGAATCAGAATGAAGAAGATTTAGAAGAATACTGAGTGCTTTTTCCGATCTGGATGAAATCGAATGTAAAATTCCATTACTGCCCCTCTGTGCCTTATCTAATCCCAAAGTTCCATTTAATTACAAAAATGTCACCGCCTACTTGTGGTTTAATCTGATTTAATTTCAGCCTTTGATTATAAAGATGTGTGGCCAAGATTTTGTCCCCTTGTCTCACAAAATACTATTGTCTCATATGAACCTAACGATATATATATATATATATATATATATATATATATATATATATATATATATATATATATATATATATATATATATATATATATTGAATTCATAGTCTCCTACAACTAAAAGTTTGGATAAGGGATAATGTCACTATAGCGCAATGATGTTATGGGTTTGGTCCGATTTGACCATTCATGTTTATTTTTTGCGCAATAGGCCATCTAATTTTTTTTGTGCATGTCAAGTAAGTCATTATCGTTAGTTTTTAACCATTCATTCGTTAACTTGTTATTCTAAACTACATGAGTGGCCCCTATGGTTAAAAGTTTATTCATAGTTAGTCCTTTACCGGCTATGGTTTAAATTACACGATCAAAACTACTACATATCTAAAACTCTAGGGACTAAAGCGTAAATTTCTTATCTTCTTCCTCATTAAATCCCCTTCTGCCCAAATCCAATTCCCTTTTCTTGATCTGCATTTGAAACCAAAACCCCCGAATAACTTCATTTGAACTGACCGAGATTATCCTTCTAGAAGGCCGAAGCCCCATTAAATTTTATGTTACCCCCTTTTAGTCGGTGTCATAAAAGATGAAAGATCTATTAAAAAAATTGCATCTTCGAGATCAAGACAATTGCCACTTTCCCAAATAGAATCTAAATTATTAAACTACCCCAAAGAAATGGTTACTCTTGTTTCCTCCCTGCTTCGACCATTTTCAATCCTTTTAAGTTTTCCATGGTTCCAACTGCATCACCTGAACCCCTACAAACCACCTACCATTTTCACACACTATTCGTATTTGCTCCATCAATTTGTCGTATAAAAATATCAGATCACCCGACAACTTTAATATAACAAGAATTTGAAGAACAACAAACCCAAATTAAAACTCTACTCCTCCGAAAACCAAACCCAATCCAAGTTTTTTACGAAGAAGAAGAAGATGATGATGATGATGATGAATCTGCTCTATCAATTCGGAGTTTTCAAATGTCAGATCACCCCACAACTCTAACACAATAACAATTGGAAGAACAACAAACCCAAATCAGAACTCCACTTCTCCAAGAACCAGACCCAATCCAAGTTTTACACAAAGAATAATAAGTAGACGATGAATCAAGTAGTCATCCAGATAAAGACCTTCAAGAATTGGATTTTTATCTGGTATTATTAGGTTTCAATCAAACATCAATGTTGAGATGTGGGATTTCATAGGTAACGTTTTTGACGATTGAGGTTGTACTTCCAGTTATTGTTATTGTACATTTGATAAGCACCAACTGTTTGAGACGTGATCTCTACCAGTTATTGTTACTGTACCTTTGATAAGCACCAACTGCTATTGTGCTTTGCCTTTTATATAATCTTAGAAAATATGGGATTTGAGAGTTTCTGTTTGTCGATTAGTATAATGGCCATGTTCAAAGAAGGGTAATCTCGATCAATTCCAACAAAGCTATTCCCATGGGGATTTTGGTTTCAAACGCAACTCAAAAAAATGGAATTTGATTTGGGTAATCGGAAGGTGGTTTAACTGGGAATAATATAATAAATTTACACTTTGGTCCCTAGAGTTTTAGAAATGTGGCAGTTTTGATCATGGAATTTAAATCATTGCTGGTAAGGGACCAACTACGAATAAAATTTTAACCATAAGGGTCATTCGTGTAGTTTAGAATAACTAGTTAACGGAGGAATGATTAAAAACTAATGATAATGACTTAATTGACATGCACAGTAAAAATTAGATGACCTATTGCGCAAAAAATAAACATAAATTGTCAAATTGTAAAAAACTCATAACTTCATTGTGTAACATTGACATTATCCCTTAAAGTTTTGTTGTAGTTGAATGTTTTAATTGTATATCGAATTTGGATCGATCACTTCAAGAGTTTTATGAGTATATTATGTCATATATGTGTTTTAATATTAAAAAAAATTGAAATTTTTATTACGAATAATTGTCAATGAATAAATAATAAAGTAACAAACATATGCTATTATTTTTAATAGACCAATTTTTTATGTGTAGCAAAATAGCAATAATTATATATTTTGTAAAATGTGGTTTTAATTTAATAATATTAAGTTAACGAATTGTATAAAGCTAAAAACAATAATACAATTGATTAACATTAAAGAAACGTTAATTTATTTAAAAAAATAATGATATTTGTATATATTTAAGAAAACTATACAAATAATTCGTAGATATAAAGAATACATTTTATTTGATTGGTGAGATACAAAACTATGAATAGTAAACTAGTTGGCTTTGGACTCCGCTCGCCCACATCGACCGGGACAAGAACCAGGGAGTCATTTATATTGTGAAGCTCTGCAGGTATTATCGTCCCTTCGGGGACATCCGATAAAATTGGAACGATACAGAGAAGATTAGCATGCCCCTGCGCAAGGATGACATGCACAAATCGAGAAATGGTCCAAAGGTTCATTACCTCCCGGTTGTGGATTTTGAGGAGGCATCTAACAGCAATTGATCTTCCAAAGGTTGTTGAATCTATCTCTGTTCGTTTATTCGCTGATATGTGATTCCGAGTTCCAATTTCAGATTCTTTGTTTATCTACCTGTGCACCAGGCATTGTTTTGTCAAGCTAAATATGTGTGTGTGTGTTCGCTTATGTGCTAATGTATGATTCACTTTTGCAACATCAGTTTATTAGTTCATTGCTTGAAGGGATTTCAACCAGATAGACAGCTTCATGAACATCTTTGCTTAATTGGTTTAGGATACGACACTAATTTAGGTACTGAACTTGTTGAATTGTACTGACCATGCATCTATTTGTCCAATGCCCACCTACTGTTTGATGGAATTTCCGAATGAATTGTCGTTCTTTGGAACATTTTGATTCGTGGGTATGCTTTGAATGGTCGTTATGCTGGGATTTTTCTGTATCATTAATGGTAATTTCACATTCCCGTAGGTTGGTGCTCTTAAATCTTGGTGGGAGAAATCAAGGTGACATGTGACTGCCGAAGGATTTAACTGACAAAAAATAACACAGTGACTGGTTTAACAAGTTACAGGTAAAATGTTTAAAGCTTTGCATGTTTCAGTAACAAATTGAAATTTGACTGTATAATTTGTGTTGATAATCACTTTGTTGTATAAATTGGTAAAAATGAGAAAAGTTGTATATAATGCAATTAATCAGATTTGAACTGTTATACTAGTTTGTGAGGATTACGATGATGAATTGGTCAATTTACTTGTCATACCAAGTTTCCAAGTTGCAGATTATGATGTTTTGTATGATTTGTGAAGAAAAGAGAATGATAATTCTATATAAAGAGCATGATAATAGACTAATAGTTGAATATTAAATGGGCACCAGGATGCATTTTGTTTTGTGATGATACCCTGTTAGTTTTTTGATGATAAACAAGTTAATTGTGTGTTTATGGATTAAAAAAGAGGAAAATTGCATATGCTTGGATTAAATAAATGTCAAAAGATAGACTGTTGATTTATTGGTTATATACATAGAACCTTGAGGAGATTGAGAATTTAAACAGATGGGAAAGAAGATGGAACTGCCATGGCTGGTTCGATGCCCTACCCAGATCGTCCTGGTGAACCCGATTGTATATTTTGTTTAAGAACCGGTTTGTGTGGCTATGGAAACATTTGTAGGTTTAATCATCCAACCCACATTGGTCAAGTAATAAAAAATAAATAAAAAAATAAAAAACCCTTTTATTTTTCTCAATCGGAATAAAACGATTGTTGCTCTTCATGTCTGAAATTCGATTCTTAATCAGACCAATCAACTTCAACTTGGAGGCGAGCTTCCAGAAAGAGTTGGAGAACCAGACTGTGTGGTAAGTCTCTTCTCCATCATGTTGACGATTACAGTTAGGGATAATTAAGTAATTTCACATCCTTTTTTTTCAGTATTTTCTAAAGACGGGTACTTGCAAATATGGATCAACATGCAAATACAATCATCCTCGTGTTAGGAGAGGTGCTGGACCAGTGGTGTTAAACATGGTTGGGTTACCTATGAGACAGGTTGCTATTTACTAATCTTGATTTTCAATTTCTATTTTTCTTTAAAATGATAGTTTAAACTAACTTATAAACACTTAATTAGGAAGAAAAAGCTTGTGCACAGGATCTTGTAAATTTGGAGTGGCATGCAATTTTCATCATCCACAGCCATCAATGGATGGATCTAACATTCAATTGCCATATTCATCACAACCACCACCTCTTATCAATGGTGGTTCTACATGGTCATTACCTAGGGCAACATATGTTTCTGATTTATTTACCAATTGTTCTTCCTCATTCTCAAGGAATTGGGCCCACACAAGGTTGGAGCACTTACATGGTAAGGTTAATTGATGTAAATTCTGGGTTTTTGTTTGTGGGTTATGAAAAGTATGATGTCTAAAATAAAGTAAATTGTAATTTACTTTTTGTTGAGTTAAAATATTGTGTCTGATATGGTGTTTGTTTGGTTTTGGGTTTTGGTCAGGGTAGTTTGAACTCGGTAAGTTCGGGCAGCATTTATGGTGGCCCGGGCAGCATTGAACAACCCTATTCCTCTGGTTCTACTAATCTGCCCAAACGGCCTAGGGAACCAGAATGTCGTTATTTTATGCACACTGGAAACTGCAAATACGGATCAGACTGCAAATATCATCACCCAAAGGAAAAGATTGCTCAACTTGCTGCTAGCTCTTTGGGCCCACTTGGCCTTCCACTAAGACTTGTAAGTATAAAACGGGTCAACCCATTTACATGATATTAGATAAACGGGTCGATTTTCATTAGCTTTATCTTATTTTATTTGAATGCAAATGCAGGGGCAAGCAGTGTGTTCATATTATAATCTTTATGGAATCTGCAAGTTTGAGCCAACTTATAAATATGATCACCCTTTGATGGGGTACTCATACAACTACAGCATGAGTCTACCTAATGATAATGCTAATGCACCATCTTTGTTCTCATATGGAGGGGTGAATTCGTCAACACTTCATTCTTCAGGGTCTTCCCCGTCAAAGTCATCTAAAAATGAAGGTGCTAAAACACCAGGAGGTGGTTCACCTTCACTTTCGCCTCAACGTGCTGTATCTCCATCACATTCAGAGTGATATTGGTTTTGTTTAGAATTGGGTTGTGTTTTTGAGAGATAATGATTTTTATGAGGGCTTTGTTTTTGGTTCTGAATAAAATTATCCAGATGAGGAAAAATGTTGTACTTTTATTGCTATTACTTTTACATTTTTATCCGGTATGAACTGTTTTTTTTTTTATGGATGATTTTGTTAATTTTATGAGTGGTGATGCCATTTTTGTTCTAATATTTTATTTGTTACCTTTTTTTTTGTGATGGTAACGACATTAGTTATGTTGTGGACTATTTTAATGGGTTGTTTCTTTTTGACACCTTTTAATTTCAACAACTGTATATGAATTAATAGGGGTGAGCATGAGTCACTTTTGAGAAAAAAAACCGAGCGCAAACCGCAATTTTTTATTGTTTTATTATTATTATTTATTTATTATTATTTTTTTGTGTGTTATTTTAAAAAATATTCGATTTCGGTTCAAGTTATTGGTTATTTAAGTTTGGGTATTTGGTTTTTCTATTTGAACCTGTGGGTACAGTATATAATATTAGTATGGTATTGATGCATTATTGTTCACAGATCTAACTTATTTTTTTTGTAATTTTGAAGATCTTATTTGGGAAATACATTGCCAAGTACTAATTTCGCCCTCTTTTAACTACAAGTCTACAACTATTGTTAGGATGACATAAAACCCATGCATGACTATTTATTATGGATTATGGACTTTATGAATAAGAGTTATCCGTTAAAATGCTTATACGGATTGCTGGTAAAACAATTTTGGTTGACATGGTTTTTTTCGTTTCGGTTACTAATTTTTTTAATCTTATTTTTGTTATAGATATTTTCAATAGTCTATTTGAGTTTAGCATCTTAGTGTCATAAATTTCCCTGTTATGTGTACCATTCATATAGCAACATACTTATATTTATTAACCTGAATATCAACATACTTATATTTTTACAGAAATTACAATGTACGTATATTTATTGAGTAAAACAGCTAACTACTTACAGAATTTGAAGTACAATGCTATTAACTAAATTATTATTATTTATGATTAAGACTATTTTTTTAGAGTGTATGTTATTTAAATTTATCACCCCGTGTAGTACACGGGTTATAATCTAGTATTCAACTATAGTAAAGATAAAAACAATGCAAAACAAGGACATGTACATATATATGTACATCCACATCAATATCTTCTATTTGTTGTGTTTTGAACTTGATGTGTAGTTGTGCTCGTGTAGTGGTGTCTGGTTTCAAGAACGACATGGTAACAATAGAGCTTCAAGCCTTCAATTGCTTGCAACATATATGTTTTTTTACCATAGTTCTCATCAAATTGTGTTGTATATATATTGGCTAGTTGAAATGTTACTTTAATTGGATGTATCAATGGTGTTATTTCACTTATTTGCAATTTGTATTTGTTGTTTTGAAACCTAATAAGCAACGAGTTTATGTTTTACAATATCTTCGTTGGAGAGGATGCGGTCCGAATATATTTCTTATAATTATATTTATGCTAGTATAATACAATAACTATATTTATTATGTTTTACAATATCTTCGTTTTTTTATTTATCTTATGATTAAAAAAAGTTTAAACTAAATTTTTGAATATTAATAAAGTTAGTAGAAATGATTTGTTGGAAATAATAAAATAATACTAGTTATTTGATAATAATTATCATTTATCCGGATTGTATATGATGAATAAATAGACTAGTTTTAAAGGTCTTAATAAATCTTTTGAAATTATATATTTTGTATAAAAATATTGTAGTTATTCGGAGATTCGGATAGAAATCTTGATTACAAATAATCAGATAATTCCTAGATTTAAAAGTTACGTTATAATTTTGAAGGCGTTTAATTTGATTGGCTAGAATACAAAACCATGAACAGTCAACTTAGTTGGCTTTGAAGTCGTTAGTCCCATATCGACCAGGAGAAGACATGAGAGCCGTTTATATGGCGGAGCTCTGCAGATATTATCGTCCCTTCGGGGACATCCGATAAAATTGGAACGATACAGAGAAGATTAGCATGGCCCCTGCGCAAGGATGACACGCACAAATCGAGAAATGGTCCAAATTTTTTTTAACCCCTCTTCTTCGTCTTCGCCAAAACCCTAATTTCTTTTGTGGATTTCTGCACTGTAGTCTGTAATTTCACCGTCGGTAGACAACCGGAGAGGCTATTGGTGGATTTCGAGAAGCCATATACCTGAAATGGTCCAAATTTTTTTTAACCCCTCTTCTTCGTCTTCGCCAAAACCCTAATTTCTTTTGTGGATTTCTGCACTGTAGTCTGTAATTTCACCGTCGGTAGACAACCGGAGAGGCTATTGGTGGATTTCGAGAAGCCATATACCTGCAATTGATCTTCGAACCTTTGTTGATTGTGTATGAGCTGATGTCATTCCGTCCCATCTCCCGTTCCTTGGTTCATCTTCATGTGCACCAGGTATTGTTGTATAAAGCTAAATTAGTATGTTTTCGCTTATGCCCTGATGTGCGATTAAACATTGCATCTTCAGTTTCTTTGTTAATTAAATTGCTCGCGGAGAAATTCAACAGCTTCACTCACATCTTTGCTCAATTGCTCTAGGATACCAGTACCACATCAATTTGTGTACCAAACTTGTTGATTTGAAGTGGCTCATACAAATACAAGTATTTGGCTACTGCTGTTTGTTTGCTAGAATTTCTAAAAGAAAATGTTTTTCTTTTGGTTACAATGCTTCTGCAGTTTTGCTGCTTGATAATGGAGTTGTTCCTCATATTTTATTTTTACATTCCGATTTGCTCTCAAACACATTAGTTTTTTGTTCTCAAATGCATAAATAGGTTAGTTTAACCATTTGACTCCTTGTTGATACTAAATAATCTACATACCCAGGTCATTTTTAGTACAACACAATATAAGTGCTGCTTCTTTTGGCCATGACATTTTTGCTAGTTTGGTGATACTATTGTTTGTGTTTTTTCTAGCAAATTTTACAACTGATTTTAAAATTGTTATGTGTAATATCAAACTATTATAACTACATTAATATGGAAGAATCAAAGAAGTAAAAAATCTCAGGATCAAATTTGTTCAAAAACATTTCACAAATTAGGATTGTAAATTGATTACTCTTGTTGACATCTTAACATGAAATGATCAAGAAAAGATTATAAACAAAAACTGATAACTTACTAACACATGATCTAAAACACCTGTCCTTTCAGAACGGGTATTGATGTGTTTCTTTCTCTCTCTCTCAGGAGCGTATTATGTTGTAGCTGAGTTGAGGTAATCAAACAGATCCAGGAGCATATATATCTTCAAGTCACAGCTGTGATTTGAGAGTTGAGTCAACTGTTCACAAGAGAAATTGATTGGTCATGAACTGTTCTTGAATCAACAACTTGATCTTGAAATTGATTAGTTCTTTGATTCTTTCATATCTAGTTATAATAATTTATATTTACATCTAACTAGTTTAAAATCGGTTGTAACAATTGTTTAAAAAAAATGATTTTAGCAGCTTAAAAGTATGAATTGCAATTTTCCAATGCAACAAGTAGATTGAAAGTTGGTGAGAGTAAGGAGGGAGGATGAGTTAACTTTGTGATTCAAATCTTGAATTGATACTGATCCTGTGATTGTTTAGTGCTAATTGGCTGGAAGCCCGTAGCTGTAGGTATAAAATCCAACAAGTGGTGTGGTGATTGGTGAATGTGGATGATAATGGCTTTTGCAGACTGCAGTACCAAAGACAATCTCTTGTCAATTTGGTTGTATCTGAAGTAAAGCCTTGAACTCATTCAAAATGAGTGAGGATAAGCATCTTAATAACTAATTGATGTCATGTCTTCAATAAGCTAATCCTTGATCTTGAAAATATTGATGTGAAATTAGAGGATGGGATCAGGCTTCTATACCAAAGAGTTATGTACATATCAAAGAAACATTGTTTTTGGTAGAAAATCACTCTCATATGATGAAGTGCAATCGGCTTTGAACTAACTCTTAAGGAGTTAAATGGAAAGACAAGATTTAAAAAAAAAAAAAAAAAAAAAAGAGTTTATCCGTTGATTTTTGGGCCTGTTGGGTAAAGAAACTTCTAAAAACTAGCATTAGATGTAACCATCGTTTTTGTTTTTTTGTATGGAATATGAACTATGTAAGTCGTGTTTTTATGTTTTTTCTCATCTTTACTCCGCTTTTTAAAAGCATAACCTGAGGGGTGTTGATAGTTATATAAACGTACCTTAAATATTTACTACTAATAAAAATATTAAAAAACATGTTTGCTCGTTTTAACTTACATTCGTTGTTCGTTTTTTTAACTTACTATTTGTTATTAATATGCATGTCTAAAATTATAGCATAATACTTAAGCCTACAAAGAAACAGTAAAATATCACACAGAAACAAACATCAGAAGTAAGAAAGCATAAATAAAAACACAGTGCATTCGAGTTCAAGTAGCAAGAATTCCTTTCAGTACATTGCAGTAGCCCAAACACAAAGGAAAAACAAAACACGATTATAAATGTCATTTTAGCAAAACAAGAAAAAGGGTATTTCTTCCTGAGACAAAATTTAAGCAACTGCGTCTAAGAAAGCTCTTCCAGGTTGACGATTTGCAAGAGGCCCATGGCATCCAAGAAGCTGCATCATCAACATTACAATCATTATACATTCCTCATATTACATAATATACACAAAAAAAAAAAAAAAAGTAAAGAGAAGAAAAAAGAAAGCAATACCTTGGCATTAACACCATCAGACATGATTCGGTTCTCAGATTTCCACTGAACGTAGTCAGTACGACTGAACTTAGTAAATCCCCTGCAATCACCATCACCATAACATTATAAACAAAAATTGAAGCATGAAATAACTTTAAAAAATAAAAGAGATGTTAACAATCATATTCATACCATTTCCTGCTGACAATAATCTTTTGGCGACCAGGGAACTTGAATTTAGCCCTACGAAGAGCCTCCTGAGCATGCTGACTGTTACCATCTTTGCATCTAACAGATAGAAGAACTTGACCAATGCTTACACGGGCACAAACTCCCTGTGGTTTCCCAAAAGCACCTCTCATACCAGTCTGAAGCCTATCAGCTCCAGCACATGAAAGCATCTTGTTGATACGAAGAACATGGAAAGGATGAACCCTAACCCTCAAGTGGAAAGCATCCTTTCCTGCAAACTTTGTCATGTACTTGTTGCAGGCGAT